AATAGCAGACAGTGAAAAAACTCCTAAGGCATGGCTTATAATTCAAAATGGAATGTCATTTGTGGTTTTTAGGAGAAAAACTGTCGCTTGTGGGGAAAAGTATGTAAATGATAGGACCAGGATGCTTCTGTTAATGTTGGCGGCAGCCATGGGGTCCATGGCAAGTAATATCTACAGCCGAAGGGCCATACGAGGAGGAGACCTCAGAGTCACGAGAACGTCCCCAAGAACCGGAGATGCGACCATGATACGCCCATGCTGTGTCACCAAGCGAAGTAGGCCAGCTGACGTATATATAAGAAATTTTACATGCGATTAGGGGGAGGGAAAAAATGGCGGCTCAAATTGAAAAGCCTTTCACTAGTACAGCAGCGGGAGCTTGCCGCGTTGACCCTGCTTCCGCCCTGCCACGGCTTACACCCACGCCTAGTCATCTATTCCTCGTGTTATCGGCCCTTCCCACGTTATCGATCCACTCGCCGTTTCATACGCGCGTACGCTCAAAGGTAATTAATACTTTCCCTCGTCTGATTGGCGGCAACCGATTGATTACTCCTTCCACAGCCTTAACTTGACACATCCTCACTTTTGCTCCTAAGCGGCTGGCTATTGTACGCGGCACTTGCAGCGGCCACTGTAAAGCTACTTGTGCTCAGTAAAGTTGTTCAAATTCATTTCATTTTCCCAGACTTCTGATTTGGAGGATCCTTCTGCTTGTCGACACAACCACCTGCGGCACAGCCAATGCTCTAACGTCCCCCATTTCCTTCAACGATCCACAAATAGTTCTTTTTTTAATTTATGGATCACCCCATTTGACAGAACTTGGTCAGGCAAGCGTTGCATCTCTGAATTATTCGGTTGTTAGTTTGCATCTTCAAATGCCACTCAGAAACTTCATAAACCTCCATCTCCAGGTGTTTCGTCCGATTAAAGCTCACTTTTTCACTAATATTATTTTCTCTTACAGTCACTTGTCCAATACCCTAGTGAGGCGGAAGAGGATGAGGAGGACGAGGACGAGGAAAATGAGGAGCAGCAGGCAGGAACAGGAGTACCTGACAGCGACTCTGCTCAGTCTAGATCTCGGCGTCTGGAGCCCCAGAATATACTATTGGATAAAAGCTATAATTACCTGATCTTGCTTGCCAGCGGTTCGGTCACGCCCTCAGATCCGCAGTACTATCAAAATGACCTCATTCGAACTCGAGTCACGCTGGAACGGACAATTGCAGTCTGGAGGCCTGTAAGCGCCTTTTTGTTGGCCTTTTTGCTTCAACTGTTTTGAAGGGTAGACAATCGTTGCTTTCTAGACAGGAGCAGAACTTCAGTCAACTTCCGCCTTCGCTCCTGAATGGCTCCTGATCTTCGGTCTCTTTCTTCTCATTGATCGCTCTCCTGCGAAGAACTAGAGAGACTAGAATAGCCTCTTCTGACTCATTAGGCGTCATCAGCCACTCCTACCCAACCCCAAGTGGTGCTCCGCCGAAGGCTCGAACCTGCGATCTTTTAATCCGAAGCCTAACGCTGTAACCAATGGGCCACGGGCTCGATGTCGTGCCGGTTTACATCGGAAGATACTGCCATTCATTGACGAAAGTTCACCGAGCGCTAACGGAACTCACTCATGCCGCTTTGTCAGCACTGCTCGCAGCCTAGCCTATTAGCCACTGTGCGGCTGCTTGCGGGGCTCGAGAAATGAGCCCCAAGGCAGAGCGGGATCGAGTGAGTTACGTTAGCGATTGGTCAACGTTTGTCAACGAGTGACAATTCAAGTTCAACTCACTGGATCTGAAGGTCAGCCACGTGCTTTTCTCAAATAGAGCTATGGTTTGCCAGGCCATAATACAGCCAAAACAAGCCTTTTTAAGTTGCTCTTGAAGACACAGTCAGTCTGTGGAAAGCTTACTAAAACGATTACTCATTGACGGCTCAGGCGAAAGTTTCTTCACAAGTAGATTCGGCTGTCGGTGAAATTACTCAGGGTAGGCTCTGTCCGTGTCCCCGGTAAACACCTGAATGTCGAGTTAAATTGTTAGGCACAGCAGATGTGCTTTCTCGTGAAAACTTTACCCAAATACTGAAATAGTTTTTCGATTAGTGACAAAAACTAACGAGGCTTTTTCCCTTAAATTTTCATTTAACACAATCCCGAAATATTTCTTTTACGTCAAGATGACGATATATCGGACGAATTTCCTTTTAGTTGTCTGCAAAGCTACACTAAACTGCCCACTAAAGTAGTGTACAATGTTCTTATTGATTTGACGCCCGTATAAATATATTATGTAGATGATACGCATAAAAATATCCTTTCTTATATTCATCTGGTAGAAAATTACGCATTGTTCATTTATTTTGTCGAAGATGGGTATCTGTCGGTTGTAAAACCTGTTTCATATTATGAGATCCTTAAGCCGTGAAACGCTCAGTAATACGACGCCCATTTATTAAAATTGTTTTTCAAATATTGGAATTATAAATGTTCGGTTGGAATTTTAATTATTGTCCTGCTGGCAGAATGCCAGCCTTGGGATAGCGTTTGACTAAGTACGAAGTAGGAATTTTCCCCACTGCTTTTCAATTTTCCTGTGAATTTAAAGATATTTTGAATGAAAATGATATTATTTGTACTCTTTGGTATTATATTTCGTGTTCGTCAGAGGTATATGATCACTCTATAATACAGACGGATTTAAGCTAACTGTCAGGGAAATCTTGAGTAGGTTTAAGATTAGGATTGGTACTATGGCTAGAGTTATGATAAGGTTAGGGGGAAAATCAGGGCTGAGGTAAGAGTTAGGATTAAAGGGTGAGATACGATGCAGTCTATCCAGAAATCTAAGATAGAAGTATCCCAACAGTTACAAACTAGTTCAGAAAATGAATCGGTGAACGTATGTTTGTTTTCGATCAATGCTCGGCAGGGCTTTACATTTATATGGCAACTAAGTAAATAAACCATGTTACTACACCATGCTACCGTACTATTTTTCTACCAATCCGCATATTTTTACTTAATTACCATTTAAATGTAAAAGCCTGACGAGAATTTATCGAAAACAAACGAATGTTCGCCAATTCATCTTCTGGAATTTTAAATGAGAATTTTCGCAAATTTACAAACTAGTAAATAAGGTCAAAGACGCTGGCAAATAAAAGTCACGTGCTTATCTAGTGTCAAGATACTTACAAGGCATATTTAACTGAGTAAAACAAAAAAATTCTGTCTAATATCATTACAAAGGCAAGGATTCGGATTAGGGTTTAGGCTGGGTTTAGTGTTAAGGTAAGAACATGGAAAACCTCCAAATTAAATGTGCCAGCGGAATTACGAGGGGCTTTCCTTTTCCTCTGTTCTTCCGGTTCCCACAAAAGCAGCGTTCTGCGATCCCATAAATTGTGCTTTCTATTCTGGACTATATATTTCAAAAATGGCTAGGTTTGCACCGAGCGTGGGCTAAAATTGCAGCGAACGTTGAAGGACGAGAGCAACTCTGGGTTGGTGGGGACTGTTCATCTATCGACTGGTGTAATGCTCTACTAACAGTTCAGAAGAAGATGATGCGATCACTGGAACAAGAGTTTTATCTTGTTCCAGTGATTGCATCTTCTTCTTCTGAACTGCTTCCTGGAACTCGCATCTTCTCTACTATTGGCAACCTACTAACAGTCTTCAGGAGACAGTCTGAAATACCAGCTTTTTATTATGGAAACTTACTCTAATAAATTTTTCTTAATTGCAACACAAAAATAGGGCTTGATGTCGGGGCCTGCCTAGCCTCGCCTAAATTTTATTTTTACGTGGTTTCCACTTAATTAAGTTGGATATACTATCTGTATTGGTTAATGACCTCGAAAATAGTCCTTTTGACAGAATTTGTACCTTATCTACTTCCGCTGACTACCGCGATTCCGCTAAAGTTTGTCTAGCTACCCTGAAAATGATGTCTCTGAATGTATGTATGTTGCGCTTACTTACTTGCTTAGTAACAATGTACGCTATAAGGCAACAGAAACACGATAACTTTCTACGGTACTGTTTCGAGTATCTTGCACCATTAGACTCTGTATCTAGTCGTAACGCGGAAATCAAATCCCAATGATAACAACACTTGGTGTAGCACAGTACTGGTAAACAACAAACGAGGTATAAGCCTTAATAGTAGATATACGTACTCAATAACAAAGGAGTTGGCCAAATATTGCCTGACTCTAGAAAAACGAACGACGCATGTCCAATAAGGCCACACGTATGCAGGGCGAAGCCAGACCTAGAAAGGCGCGTGTTTTGGGGAGGAATGGCCACTGATTTTAGGTGACCTTTGAGTCAGTTCATATGGTGTCCCTTTGGGGAGTTGCATTGCCCGAGGGGATGTCGCGTACAGTGGCCCATGCTGCGTCGGCTGTGGGGTGGCCGCGTTCAAGTGGCCCTTAGGCAGCCAGGAGATAAAGCAGCCCTCAAAGTCAACACCGAACTTCATATGTCGGTGATCGAAAATTTTCAAGTGTGAACCTTGTCGACATTTCGAGGATAGAGCTACGATGCACACCACCAGTCATATTACGAAATTACTAAGAATAATTTTCCACGAACGATTCATTTCCGGAAACATGGTTTCTTCGTTCGCCTGATTTGATATCGCACCCCTTTTCTGCGACTTTTTAAAACCAAGCCACTGAGATCAATTTCCGGTGGACTTGAAATTGCGGCATCCTTTAAGACGAGAACGAAAAAAATTAACTATGTTTCTTTGTACTGGGTGGCCGATGAAAAGCTTTTACAGGTATCAGGCTATTTTCAGGGTCGTGAGCGCGACTGTATCTCGTTTTCGATTTGCCTAGCACACCCAGAAGTCACTAATCGCGCGCGCACGTGTGACAATCCGGTTCACAATACCGTGACGCCGATCGCCATTTTCTCTTCACCAATTGGTAGCAACCGAAAAAAACTCAGAGTAGGCAGTTCAGCTGTAATTTGTCTAAGCTGATTTGGGAAAGCTTCGTCTTGTCAATACAGATCACTTCCGATACTCCCTCGCTTTTCCATCTCATTATCTTTCCTGTCTTCGACTTTGGGAAGCTTGGAATTGTCGAGGATGGTGCCTTGACACATAAAGGCTATTGCCTGCACCATATAGGCTAGGAGATAAATTTCGAATAAGCAATAGCGGAATCTAGAAATATTCATTCCCATGGAGACATGGAGGCAGGTTAGCTGAGGTCCCTTATTACAGGGAGAGGGTGGAATCGGGATTGGGAAGATGTGAAGTTCGAAGGCGCAAAAAATGGAGTAATATAAACGCGAAAATTCCAAAAAAATCAACAAGGTGTCCTCTCTTTGCTTGTGTGGATACGCCAGTGTAAAGTGTGTTTTCAAGCGCTTGTATGAGGACGGTTCCCGGCATGTGTTGTGCTATAGACGACGGAACCCGGTCCTCACAATCAAGATCGCTGGAAGGCATTTTTTAGAAACAACTAAAAGGCAAGTATAACCGACTACTGAACTAAGTAAAGTAACCAATAATATCAATAATTGCTCGACTGGATTCTTGGAGTTACATTGTACCCTGTACCATTAAGCTCAATTAAAAAATGACTAGTGTTTAGTCCCCTACCAAGCTGATCTGATAGATCATATGCAATAGCCTTGGTGCTTTTATGAGTAGCTTCCACCTGACGTCTATCTTCTTTCCTACTTGGAAGCTTTTTGACTACATCCTCCATCGCAGCGTGTTTGAACTCCGAGTCAATTTGTTACGCATGTTTTACTGTTATGACAGCTAAGACAATTTTCCGCAGGAAGAAAGTAAAATTTTAATTCAACGGTTACTGTATTTGAATAGTACTGCCGTATGTCTGATGGGACTCTTCCGTCCATCTGTTAATACAGCCTGACGAGAAAGATACGAAAAATCCTGAAGGTCTCCTGGGTACAGCTGCCGACGTCACAGATACGCACAACAGGACGGCGCTGAACACAACCGAAACCACCACCTCAGCAG